CTTTGGTGGCGTTTGGAAACATTACAGAGCAATATCTTGGGACACAAAAAGATTGTTGATCACTAAAGTCAGTTATTCATAACTTATGAAAATAAAAAAAAAACAGTAACCCTGAACTCACTATTAGGAAATTGTACTGCTTAGGCTGCTGGACAGGCCGGCGTCAGCCGAATTCAATCGCCGCACACGTGTAATCTCCATGGAGTGTGATGAGTCTGATGACATGCCTTTTCATTAAACGATGCCAAGGTACATGAAATTCCTCGGACAGTCAGCCGTTCATTAACTATGACATTGTTTTACAGCAACGCCGACGTGTGCCTGAAACGTATAGACACCTGTTCGAACAAAGTACATGCCATGGCCTCCCTGTTTCTTTTTTCTTTATTTTCTTAAACAAGAGATTCGGTGGCTCACGAAGCATTGGTTACCTGTCTTCAGTCATCGCATCTTAACAAAGCATTGTACTTATAACTCCGCTCGCGAGAGATCACAGTTGAGATGAAAGCACGCACTAGGCAGAACTTGTATGTATTTATTCCACTTATTCGTGCCGATAGACACCACAACCGCACGCAGCGCCATCAGGGGCGGGCCATCTCCGTTCGCCCACAACGCCATTGTGTTCGACAGCGACGGATACGAGGAAAAACTCTTACGCGAAGACGTGAACTGATTTCGGTCGTGCATCATGCATGCTCGTGGACTCGCGGAGTGTCCAAGGACAAGACGTGCGCCCATTGTGTTTTTTTGAGCTCGCGCATACGCTCGCCGCTACAGACTATCAAGATCGCCCGGGCGTTCTATTGGCTTCGACGACTGTGTCACGTACCACGGACGCTGTCAGACGTGACGCCTTCGAGAGCCACGGCTCGGGCAGCATATATCAGCAGCTTGCCTGCCTCAGATATGACGCGTCGTGCAGCCGTCCTCCTTTCAGGTCATCATTCTTTTACGTTTTAATAACGTTCTAGCCCCGGTCATCGGTTCCTGAAGCTAGCGGACAGAGATCCCACGTTTGCCACACAATATGAAGCACGTGGGAGCAGTGCGATTGCTTTATCCTGCGTCTGTCCTCATAAACGTGCTTTCGGGGTTCGTGCACGGTGGGCAGTGCTGCTGCATACGAGGAAGTTTCGTGCTACACAATACCTTTCATTAGGCAATTTCGTGGTCGTCACAAGGTATACGTGCGGTGCACTTTGACACGTTCCACATCTGACAGCGTTCAGCAAAATACTTTATTTCTTTTATAAAATAATTAAGGTCCGTGCGCTTAAATCTGCTGCGGTAAGGCACGTAATATAACAAAGAAGTAAGCAGTCAAGGGAGCGAGACAGCCGCTGTTGGTAGTGACCGGAGGTGCGGTTAACTATAAGCAATTTTAAAAGTGAACGCAAGTGTAATGGCAGAAAAAGAAGACGTTTTAGTGCCTATAGAGTGTTTCACGGATGGTATTAGATGCTGCCTTATAGGGCTGTTAACCTGGCCAATTCCTAACATAAACAACTATAAACTACCGGTGCCATAGTGGACATATACACATCAAAAATGCTTGGTTGGGTGAATTCGACTTTTCCTGGCCTTATCAGTTCACGTCACGAAGTGCAAAAGTAAGAAAACATTCGTTTAAGGGCCCAAGGTGGTCGAGCCCATGAGTGTTACGTAAAATCCTTATACATCACGAAAGTATGGCTTTTATTTTAGACGTTTAGACAGCTTGTCCCGGTCACGTTTTTTCAATTTATACCAATACCCTGATCGCAACGTTCTCTCGCGTCAGATAATAAAGTTACTTGTCGCCTGCTATCGACATTTCAATGAACATTCAGAGGGCGGGTACGGTCACATCCTGCAGCACCTCCCTTTACCCCATTCCTTTTTGTCTTTGACTGTAAATCTTTCTCCCCAAACTAAAGACTCAACGTATCCGAAGATCATCGAAGGCACCACACGGGCACCACAATCGGCTGCTGTCGGTAATTTTTTTATTCATTCATACACGTCCACAAATACATATAGGGCCGATCGCGGCACGCGTATCTCAACCGTGCATGCAGCAGTCGATCGAGGACCTCTACGAAGATAAAAAGAAAATAAAGTACCGCTCGGCCGTTTGCCCTTATCTCGGGCGTGGTACTGGGCACGGAACTGTTCCTTCGTTTTCTCGCAATTACGGTTATTGGTCCACAGAGGAACCCGTGCGCAGGGCTTCGGCCCGAGACAGTTCATTGTTTCGATTGAAAAGGGCAGGTCCCAGTCGACTGCGCCTGGGCGGGAGTTTGCGTGCGACGAATGCATTTAGGATGGAACGCGCCGGTTCGCCTGCGCACGCCATGCGTTCTCCTCGCAAGTCTTGCACGAGCCCTGCAGCGCATAAGCCGTGCTCGTAACTGATTCCTCGGCGCTCATCCGTTGCCCCCTTTTATAGGAATGGTCTTTTCACTCTTCTTTCTCTGCTTCCGGCCATCTCACCTCTACTGTTTTCGTTTCTTTTTGCCTGCCCACGCACCAGTTTGTCTTCATTTCGGCTGGCGATCCCCGTCGAAGACGTCCTCTTTTTCGATCTCCTTTATGGTCTGTAACTGTTTCCTGAGTGGCGGCCGCTTTCAGGATGCCACAGGCAGAAAAGGCCCGTGCCATGGTGCGCGCGCGATATTGAAAACGCGGGAAAGCGATGATGATGGACTCCCCATCTTTCGGAGCCGATTGCGTGAAAAGGCGCGATTCGCAGTCGTTTGCACTTTTTTTTCCGCAGACCGGCCCTGTGGTGCCTTTTTGCGTTTCTCCTCTTTTTTCTCCCTGCCGTCCTGCACGAAATAAAGGTGTGCGCTCGGGAATCGTCTTCGAGCGACGGTCCCCGAGCGATTGAGGTCTCCTCGAAGAATCATTTATGAGAGGTCAAAATCAATGACGGACTCCCTTTGGTTACATTGTAGCTAAAGGGAGTCTCTCTATAGCCTTAGGGAGGCTGTGTTCGTATGGCAGCAAGGTGTTCGGTTTTGTGTTGTTTAAGTATATTAATGTGTTGTGACATATAGAATTTAAAAAATAAGACGACAACACCCATGAGGAATCATGGCATTTCCATTCCTGTTTTTTTCTCCTTTTTACACGCTTCAGTTTAGTTTTTTTTTTTCATTTCACCGCTTGATCGCAACAAGGCTTGTTAGGTGACAAAACGCGCAAGAAAATGGGGGCGGCAGCGCCACTTTAAAATTCCCGCACCGAACGTCATGACTTTGTAGATTTTTAAGACATCTACTAGATTCTATAATTAATCCCAATAAGTAAATTGTCAGCTTGCTCTCCGTCGTATGCAAGCTATTTACAATAGTAATTGCTAACAGAATGAAGGCGACATTAGAATTAAATCAACCGAAGTATCAAACAAGATTTCATACTAACTACTCAACAATAGACCACATTTATTTATTTATTTATTTATTTATTTATTATTTAAAATGCAGCCGCTGCAGCAGGGATCCAATCCCGCGACCTGCGGGTCAGCATCCGAGTACCTTAGCCGCTAGACCACTGTGGCGGGGGACCACATTCATACTATCAATCATCTGACAGAGAAAAGCTCAGACTACACCCAACCATTATAGATAGCCTTCATAGATTACGAGAAGGCATTTCATTCAATAGAAATATCAGCAGTCATGCTGACACTGCGGAATAGGGGTGTCGGCAAAGCCGCATATACAAACATCGTGAAAGAAATCTTTAGCAGCTCAACTGCCGCTATATAGTGCTCCGTAAATAAAGCGGCAGAATAGGGTCTTAGACCAGGGAATACGATCTACCCAATGTTATTTACCGTCTGCTTACAAGAGGTCTTCATACGCCTAGAATGAGAAGAGTTAGGGATAAAAGGTAATGGAGAGCACCTTAATAATCTACGCTTTGCTGATGACGTGGCGTTGCTAAGGAACTCAGGATTATAATTGAAAGTAATGTACAACCTCGGAACAGAACCGCTCTTCGAGGTACGTAGCAGTGCAATTGAAGTTGTAAAAATGTACGTCTACATAGGACATGTAGGTAGTAATCGCCTACCTAATCGGTAGTAGCTAGGAGCCGAACCATGAAATTGAAGTAACTAGAAGAATAAGATGAGGTGGATCACATTTGGGAAGCATTCTCAAATCATGAATGGTAGATTGTCACTATCTCTCAAGAGGAAGGTATATAACAGCTGCATCTTGCTGATACTTATCTACGGAGCAGAAACCTGGAGGCTTACAAAGACGGTTCAGCTTAAGTTGAGGACGACGCAGTGAGGAAAGGAAAGGAAAATGATAGGCGTAACCTTAAGGAACAAGAAGAGAGCATAATGTATGAGAGAACGTACTTGTGTCAAGGACGTCATAGTCGAAATCAAAAGAAATGGTCATGGGCAGGGATATAGCACAAAGGCAAGATAGCCGCTGGTCAGTAAGGTTCACAGACTAGATTCCAATAGAAGGTAAGCGGGTGAAGCGGAGAGAGAAAGTTAGGTGAGCAGATGAGTTAGGGAAGTTTGCGGGTATAAAGTGTCAGCCGCAAGCACAGGACCCAGTTTACTAGCGGAAGATGGGGGATCCTTTGTACTGCAGTGAGAATTCAGGCTAATGATGATGATGATGATATTGTCTAAGAAATCCATATATTTAACTTGCCAAGTTTCAGGAACGTTCAGGCAATGTCGCCAAAATATGAAAAATACACATTGCAATCTATATCATATGCGGCAATGCAGCTGCGGAATGGAGAAGAAATTGAGCGTTGACTCTGATTTTCTCTTTTATCAATTAACGACGACGTGAAGTTAATGACATCCAAGTTCGCAGACTACATTTCGTCAATCTAAACCAATCGGTTGTTTCAGTTTAGTGTCACCATAATGCTCGTGCTTGGCGAATATGTGAAACAATGCGCTCCTTGTTGATTCGTGACAATAATTGTAACAGCCGTGTCTTCATTTTTATCCTTCGTTCTCGTTCTCTGCCTCACAGCTGAGCTCAAGATGGAAGTGCTGCGAGAGCGAGGACTTCGAGAGAGCCTCGAGAAGCAGCTATCCGAAGAACAGAGGACGAGAGGTGAGTAGTCCGATTCTATTCGGCGCATCTTTTTTTTTTTTTTTTTTTTTAGGGGCGAAGCTCCTTATGGCATGGCTTGTGCGTCCCTCGTAGTACGTAACCACCAGTGGCACATACCCGTAATAGCGGTTCTTGCGCTTTTGACCTCCAAGGTGGTTTCGGTGAAAGATTTCTTGTGTGCGTTGTTGAACAATAAAAGATAGTGCTCAATGCACATGTCAATGGCTGCGAAGGGGGAATGAGAGACAGGAGCATTCGGCCTTTAGGTAACGCGCACGCTGCGATCCCCATTAGCAGCTATTGGCATGTACATTGAGTACGATCTGACAAGAAAGGGTCGCTACGTTATACTCGCTGGGTGTAACCTCCTTGTTTTAGAAAGGTTTAGCGAGCGTTGGGCCGCATAGCCATGAATACAGTGAACTTGTATATACCATGAACTTGAGGTGGATAAAGGTGGGAAGGAAACCCGAAGCGCAAGCCGTAAGAAAGTGTGCATGTGCCACCTCCCGTTTAGTCCTTGAAATGTCCGCTGGATGGCGGTGCTTCTATATGGAGAATATATGATGAAAAGATGCGAGATGGTGGTACTTGGAGTGCTGAATAGATGGACGAACGGACACACAGACAGATGCATGGATGGACGCATGAACGGACGCAGGCGCGGACGCATGGACGAACGCAGGGACGGACGCAGGAACAGACGCACGCACGAACGGGTGGATGGACGCATGGACAATTACACAGACGTACGCAGGAACGGACGGAAGCAAGAACGAATGGACGGACGAATGCTTCGCCCCACTCCCCATCATTCACTCTGTGGATATGCTGCCATTTTTTTTCTAAATTCAATCAGTCAGTCGAGCACCTGTATGTCTCCAAAGTTTTATAGACCAAATACAAAATGCGTAAGCTCGAAGACAAGAATCATTAAAAAGTGTATTTATGTGCGGAACGTTTGATAACCACGTTAATTCATCCTTGCATTGTTCCCATCTCGAATTTAACAACTCCAGGTATGACATGTATCTTATTAATGGAGATGTATTTTTTCGATTGCTCCCTCCGACATCCTCCAGCTGTCAGACTATATATCTTTAAAAAAAATCTACCACGGGCAAAATTAAAGTTGAATACAAAATATATCTTTAAGTGTCTGAAAACAGAGCAATATAAGGTCACCTTTATCTCAAGAAGAGACTTTGCTGGTATATGCAAAGCACAAGAGAGTCGCCATCGTTAGTCGGTTATCCTGCCAACGTTCCGTGTGCTTCTCGGCTTGTTGAGTAAATGTACGTCCTACTTAGAGTTACAGAGATGAGGGTTGCAGGACGCTCAAGTCTCTTAGCGAGGTAAAGCATTTGCGGAGGAATAAAACGAGCACGGGCTTAATAATAATAATAATAATATAATAATAATAATAATAATAATAATAATAATAATAATAATAATAATAATAATAATAAAATAATAATAATAATAATAATAGCAGTAATAATAGTAACAGTAGCAGTAGCAGTAGTAGTAATAGTAATAATGCCCGTCAAGCATACGGACCTGTAAATAAGCATCACGAAGAAAACGCTGGAGAAAAATGCGCACCTTTGTCGTTGGGTGGTCCGCGCACTGATGCATTAAAACTCCTCTGAAAGTGCTTAGAAGCGACATCGAAAAGAAATACACAATAAAGCCAACACATCCTGCATTTTTAAATTTTCTTCGCGCTTATAGTTCTTCTTTTTTTTAAGTGAGCAAGACACTACGGTTTCAAGTGAGCCCTTATACTGTGTACAGGACTTCTCTGGCCCGGAATGAAAAATGGTCCCTCTCTGCTCCAACCCATCCGTCGTGAAGCGGTGAAGCTTTCCACGCGAAGCCATCGTTCTCGGAGTGCAAATACGGGATTTCCTCACTCAGCCAAATATTTTTTATCACTTTCCAGACCCCCCCGCACCCCCTTGCTTCCTTTCTGCGCTTTCATACTCGCCTCTCAGAAATGTACTCTTTATGTAACAAGAAATGCGCAAAGAGACGAAAAAAAGAAACCTCTTATCTTTCGCGAGTCGGTTCACCCCTTCGCTGAGACGCGGGCTAGTGCTGTTTTATTTCACAGCACTTTTCCGGATTTGCCGTTCCGACTGGTTTCAACTTCAGTCTTGGCTTGCTGCAACATGTATCTGCCCGCGCTGTGCTAGAGAGAATCGGACTCTCTCTCCGCACTCTGAGCTCTCTCTTTTTCTCGACGTTCATCTTTCATTCCGCCGCGGTGTTACTGTTTCCGGATGAAAGAACCCCACGGTACATATATACAGTCTGGGCGGCGCAAGGCGCCAAGTGCTTCTTCCTCGCAGCGAACACTGGTATATGGAAGAGCGTGGTCGCTAAAGAAAGAGGCTTATTTGATTTCGCGCCTCGGTGAAGACGGGGCGTGGATGGAGACTTTAGGCCGCAGTTTGTCATTCCCGACGTGCCCGTTCGCGCGCGTGCGAGGTTTTGAGCGATGTTGTCGGATGCGATGAAGGTTCTTTTTCTACGCCATAGCTCTTTATATAGATGTGGTCGGTCGTACGATTCCTAATACCGGTCGGGCAACACCTGTCGAAAACTCTATACGTCGATAGAGCGTTTATTTGGAACACTTTGTAAATATGTATTAAGAACGAGAAACAGCGCGAGCCAGCGTGATTCTGTAGATGTTTTGACGCATAGCAAAGATGCGTTCTCTTGTGTGCCAACTTAGAAATGCTGCGCTATTCCGAAAATTCTTTCAAAATTCACGTGCAAATATATACAACCAATTAAACTTCAATTGTAAGTCAGCGTTTAGTACGTCTCTATCTAGTTGTTCTGTGGTTTGCACTGTTTCTTTTTTTGTTATTTTCGGCAATTTTTAGTGAGAACTCTATGCTACAGATGCAGTGAAACTTTAAGCCAGGTAGAGAGGGTCCTTCTATGTAATAAATTAAGTTTGAGGATGGAATGGAATGAAAAAACTTTATTTATGAAAAAATTTTATTTAATGAAAAAACTTTATTTAGTTGGAGGATCGGATCTTTTAATTCTACATTCATGCATGCGTCAGGCTTCCCCACTTCGTTGGCGCATGCCACATAGATCACGTTCAGTGTTGCTGTGTGCTTCGTTAAAGTTCTAGCCCTGCATGAAAGCGTCACTTAGCGCGTACATCTTATAATAAATTTTCAGTGGGCACTATTGTTGCACTGGTCCACATCCGTTCTATACACGCTAAGGAATTAATAATGACGAAAATTATATAAAAGTTTAATACCTTGGATAAAAATGAGCAGACAACTAGAGCATGACGAACTGTTTACACTTGAGATTTCAATTACTGAGAGCCTGAAAGGTGTTTTCCTATTTGCCTGAACAGCACACTAAAACAGCTGGGATAGGATACTCGTTGCTGTTTTGTTCAGTGGCTAAGTAGCGTCCCGCTGCTGAGCACCAGGTCGCCGGTTCGATACGCACCGATGTAGCCGCATTCTGATAAGGGTGTAGTGCCAAAGCGCTCAAGCCCTGTAAGTTTGGGGCTACGTTGAAAACTTTCTTGGTGATCGAATTTAATGGGGAGTCCTACCGCACAGCATGCACCATAATTAGGCCGTGGTTAAAGGCACCCAAAATTCAGGAATTTCATAACTTTATTGGCATTATGAAAAAAGCTTGATCGAAAAAAAAAACTGCACTGAAGCACGTGTATAAAAGAGATTAAAGAAAGCTTTTAAAGGGATCTGGGGTCGAGTTCAACGAAACTCCTGTTTCGTAAGTGCGTCTTGCCATTGGAGGGCCGGTTTCGTTAATGTTATGTCTCGCATCGTGATTGCCTGAAATGTACCTTTAGAAAAAAATTTTGCTGCGCGACGTTTCTGTCAAGATGGGTCCTGGTTAGTACATAATTACTTGGCTTCTTGAAAACACTGTTAGAAGCGTTGATAAATGACCCACTTAGTTCCGTTTCCAGAGCTGTTCCAGAGAATTAGAGTAATGTGAAATAGGTTTCGTATGAGTAGAAAAATGCCTTCCACGCTTCTTTTTTGGCCAACAACTGCATTCAAAATGACAGGTAATCGCCCCTTTCCACGCATAGGCGTGTATATCGCATACATCTGAGAAAGAGATTTGTGAGCTTAGTGTTTGCTTTTCGAATAAGACAGATGATACTACATGCAATAGAGTTACCACTTTCCCCCCATGCCGATCCCTCGCCATACGCACGCACATACAACGACCACACTTCGATTTCGCCCCTTCCTTTAAGCGCCGCGCCATCGCACGACGGCGAAATTGCACGCAAAGTAACTCGACGGTGGCAAAGAAAACGCCGCGAATGATGCTCGACGAACATACATTGGAGAATATTGCGAAGGGCCTGTCTCTGTACTCTTATGTTCGCGAGGGCACACCCGTGCTAGGGCATGTGTCGAGCGAGCATCTGTCACGCTGCCTTGGATGTTGGCCGCAGGGGCGTCCGGGAGCGGAGTCCTGTTACATGCTTTGGGGGTACACGAAGATGACGCGCGGTTTTCCGCTTGCTCTACCCGCAAACACGCGTCGCTCAAAGAAAAAAAAAGGAAAATTTGGCGTACGAGAATGAAATCCGCGATATGCTCGAAAACTGCTTGTTTTAAAGAGTAGATATATTATAGTTATTCTTTTTAGTATTCTATTGCACTAGACGACCGCGGATGGGATCGCTGTAAGCGGAGAGGATGTTGGCAAAAAGAGGAGCGACACCTTTACTGCTGCGACAAAAAAAAAAATGAGAACGTGAATGGAGCAAGGTCTCCGACATTCGACAACTTTTCTTTTTCCAAGTAAAAAAAAAGCCAGAAGGAACAGCATAGACGTGAGAGCACATGAGCGGGGCCAGCCAGCGTGGTAGGGGGGGGGGGGGTGACAGTTGGAGGAACTGGGAGGTGTTGCGTATAGGACGGAGACGGGGGAGGATGCGGTGTTGTGTTGGGGAGGTGTCAGTC